TTATAATATTGCAAGTTTATTCAACATATCATAGGTGCGTGCCATGAAACGACGCCAAAACGACACTGTCCATCCAAACATTGTATTCATATATCAAACGATACAGTACAATACAATACAATACAATACGATACATTATGAAACGATACGTAACAACCATCCAAACAAGCTGTAAGCGGGACATGGCGTAGTTGGAGCTTACTGAGGACGTCACCCTTGATAGGAGGGTGTGGTGGTCGAGGAATAGGGTAGTAGGTTAGTAGGTAGTAGAGCGTTCTCCCTATGTCTTCTCAGTTCGATAGCATTAGTATTAGTATGATATCTTTTTCTTCTTAGATTGTTATTATTACCTAGTGTTTACTTTCTTTTTTTGCTTCGGTCTTCTTGTTTTACCTTGTTGTTGTTTATACTTGTTGCCGTTACTTCTTTTCATTCTTTCTTTAGCAAGGGTCTATCGGAAATAGCCTCTCTGCCCTTCCAGGGTAGGGGTAAGGCTACGTACATCTTACCTTCCCCGGATCCCAGTCGTGAAAATTCACTGAATTTATTGTTATTGTTGTTGTTGTTGTATGTGTGCAAATTTAATTTGTTATTTTAGCCATAGGGTTAGGTTCGACCTAATAAACTTAGGAGCTATTTGATTACAGAGATTACAGGGTTATCTCAGTAGAATTTGAGATCAAATTTGTTTAGTATATTTTTTAGCTAATATATCGCGGTGTGTCTAGTGACTAATCATCATATCATATCATCATATTATTGACATATCATCATATCATAATATATATATATATATATATATACTAAAAGTGGGAAGATCCTAAGTGTAAAATTGAATTACTAAAATGCCCATAAAAAGCTAAACGACATTTTAGCCCTTCAAGGAAACACTACTCCAGTAGTATAATGTACAAAATAGTAAATACACTACATAATAAATAGTGCACTTTTAAGAATCATAAAGATAATGCAAATAAATTTCTATTACTGATTAGGTCCTTTAAGCTTATACATCCTAAAAATCATTCAGATGGTCAACTTCTACTAAGGCCATTGGTATTCCCTGCAAAGATGTATATCTGCGCTTGACGAATTTAGTTTTTCTGCGATAATAGATAATAATTAAAGATGGTGCATTAAAAAGTACAACCTTTCATATCGTCATGGGAAGAGCAATTGTTAGAAAAGCAAAAGTCAGTCACTTTCTTCAATTATCTCATCACTTGAAATAATACTCGGATTATATTTGCAACACCCGCGTAGTCTTTTGCAAGACTCAGTTGAGCGTGATCATATACCTCGCCCTTCCTCAATGTCTTGAACGTTACTCAAATTTTCATATTCGGGCATGTTAACAGGAGAAGCAGAGAAGCCCCAGTTAGAAGGTGGTGAGAGGTTAGCCTTGATGGGTATGAGGAGGGGCAGAGATAAGCTAAAGAAGTCTTGGGAGAAGTGATTAAGAAGGTGTTTGGATTGGCTTATTTTAAGTGCTTATTGACTTTTAAGCACTGTTTAGTTTGTATCGTGATTGGCAATGACTTAAAAGCACTTACTTTTAGGCATAAAAAGTACAAAAATAAGCCAAAAGTTGAATATTACCAACTTATAACTTTTGGCTTTTAGCTTAAAAGCTACTTTTTATAAGCCAATCCAAATACCCTCTAACAGCTTGTTTGGATGGTTGTTACCTATCGTATCGTATCGTATTGTTACTTTAAATACAATATTTGTTTTGATTGTTACTTAAATTTTATTGTATCGTATCGTTAAATCCGTCGTTACGTAACGATGAAATATGCTACTTTATGTAACGACCGATTTGGTGTGGTCGTGTCGTTTCCTTGTGTTTTTCTCTCAATTTCACCCTTCATTATTATTAAATAATTTTATTTTATCATTTACCCTACCTTTTTATATACCGTATCATAATTTTTCTTTATAATATTGCAAGTTTATTCAACATATCATAGGTGCGTGCCATGAAACGACGCCAAAACGACACTGTCCATCCAAACATTGTATTCATATATCAAACGATACAGTACAATACAATACAATACAATACGATACATTATGAAACGATACGTAACAACCATCCAAACAAGCTGTAAGCGGGACATGGCGTAGTTGGAGCTTACTGAGGACGTCACCCTTGATAGGAGGGTGTGGTGGTCGAGGAATAGGGTAGTAGGTTAGTAGGTAGTAGAGCGTTCTCCCTATGTCTTCTCAGTTCGATAGCATTAGTATTAGTATGATATCTTTTTCTTCTTAGATTGTTATTATTACCTAGTGTTTACTTTCTTTTTTTGCTTCGGTCTTCTTGTTTTACCTTGTTGTTGTTTATACTTGTTGCCGTTACTTCTTTTCATTCTTTCTTTAGCAAGGGTCTATCGGAAATAGCCTCTCTGCCCTTCCAGGGTAGGGGTAAGGCTACGTACATCTTACCTTCCCCGGATCCCAGTCGTGAAAATTCACTGAATTTATTGTTATTGTTGTTGTTGTTGTATGTGTGCAAATTTAATTTGTTATTTTAGCCATAGGGTTAGGTTCGACCTAATAAACTTAGGAGCTATTTGATTACAGAGATTACAGGGTTATCTCAGTAGAATTTGAGATCAAATTTGTTTAGTATATTTTTTAGCTAATATATCGCGGTGTGTCTAGTGACTAATCATCATATCATATCATCATATTATTGACATATCATCATATCATAATATATATATATATATATATATACTAAAAGTGGGAAGATCCTAAGTGTAAAATTGAATTACTAAAATGCCCATAAAAAGCTAAACGACATTTTAGCCCTTCAAGGAAACACTACTCCAGTAGTATAATGTACAAAATAGTAAATACACTACATAATAAATAGTGCACTTTTAAGAATCATAAAGATAATGCAAATAAATTTCTATTACTGATTAGGTCCTTTAAGCTTATACATCCTAAAAATCATTCAGATGGTCAACTTCTACTAAGGCCATTGGTATTCCCTGCAAAGATGTATATCTGCGCTTGACGAATTTAGTTTTTCTGCGATAATAGATANATATATATATATATATAAAAGTAGAGTTGGAGATGATCAATTGAAATACCCTATTTTCCTAATGAAATCCATTTTGGTTACTTCTTGCGATATACAAATCTACTCAGCAAGTGTCATCAGTAAGTTTTTATTTTTGTAACTTCTTATGAGCATTCATGAAAGTGTATTTTCTTGTTTATGTGAATTTGGCTAGGAAACACTTCCCACTAATAACACTTCCTACTAATCTTTAGTATGAAATAGTGCCATTTTCTGAAAATCTTATATCAGTAACAAATAGTAATACATTAGGCATTTGGCAGTTTATTGTTGTCTTTGTTGTGAAAGGTAAATTTGTTTGGATATCAGAAACCATCAAGGATCATTTTTATCACAATATTTTAGATATTTATATATGGTATCTATTGTAATAATCCTTTAAATATTAGATAATGCTTAGGGATAGTAGTGTTCATATGTTCAAGTAGAAGAAAATCCAATGAGTTGATGATAAGCCTCTTCTTTTGCCTCCACACCTTGCGGACTGTCTTCTAAGGTGTAATTCTTACAAAGTTAGAAAATAGAAGAATAAGATCTTTTATAACTGAAATAAATTCTTTAAGTACATTATTATACTGTTTTTAAAAAAGAGTTATCCATTGATACGATATACACGCGCAAACGTGCGTGCTCAGAAACTAGTTTTATTAATAATGAATAAATGAGCTAGCAAAACGATAAAAACTAGCATACTTAGATGCACATGCCCTAAGATGATAATACAAGACGAATATAATGAATTAAGATTTGGCCATTTCTCGAGTTTGTCTTCCCATCCAATCTTGCAGCATGTATCTCTTTCTTCAATCCTTTATATTTTTTGATCATCACGACTAGGAGTGGCAAACGGACGGGTCGGGTCAGATACGAGCGCGGTCGAAACGGGTAAATTATATGATCCGACCCATATTTAATACGGATAAAAACGGGTTAATTATCCGATGTATAATATGGATATCCTTATTATCTATGGATAATATCCATATTATCCATGGCTTTTTGAATATGATCTCTTTTAGGAGAATTCCTAGTCTCCCAAACTTGAGGAACCTTCAATTTGAGTCTTTAAAATGTAAAAGTTAACTCATTAGTTATCCGTTGGTTATCCATTTTCTAAGTGGATAATATAGTTCTTATCCATATTGGACCGTTGTTAAAAAGTTCATCATCCAACCCATTATTTAATGGATAATATAGATGAATAACTATTTTCTTTTAACCATTTTGACACCTCTAATCACGATTGGACATTGTGCATCATAGAGCAGTGTACCTGTCATAAAAAATGATACAATCACAAGAAAATTGCAGCTCCAGGCAAAACTGCCCCAATACTTATCGTCAATTATGGCGGTTTGTTCTTGGCAATTTTCACTCTAATGTATGGCATTTGAAGTTTGTCACTGTTTACAGTCCTTCTGTCCTCCACAAAGGAATTAATCTGCACTCCATCCTTTTCCAAAGCTAAATTTGCATGGTGATCCCCTTCCTAAGCACGTGTAGTGTCCGTTAAAAATAGTAACAAACTTGTTTCTATTTGTCCACATTTGTTTAGATTTGTTTACATTAATTTAATGTTTTCATACATATAGTTAGAAAAGAGTGAGGTGTGGACATGTGTGAATTTGTGTGAACTAGTGTAGGCATGTATGGACTAGTGTGTATATGTGTGGACTTAATTAATATGTACACATAAAGTTTAGGCTAGATACATGTAGGAGTTCTGCTATAAATACCCATGTATGCTAGCCATTTGGTGTAAGTGAAGTTGAATAGAAATCATCCTTTCCTCCACCTATCTAATAGTGAGTTTTGAGTGTTTGTTTAGTTGTCTTGCTCTCCCAAAAATTTCTAACATTTGGTATCAGAGTCGGTGTATTGAGAGACAACCAAACTTGGAGAAAAGATGACAAACACTAATGGAACATCATTCCAAGTTCCTATGCTCACAAAAGAGAACTATGGGAATTGGTGTATTCGAATGAAGGCCTTGCTTGGTGCCTATGATGTTTGGGAACAGGTAGAGTCTGGAGTTGATGAAACGGAAGATGCTGCAGCCACAAATAAGAAAGATCAAAAGGCACTCACTCTCATCCATCAAGGTTTGGATGACAAGATGTTCGAGAAGGTTGCAAATGCAACAACCTCCAAGCAAGCATGGGACATTCTTCAAACTTCCTTTAAAGGTTTGGACAAAGTGAAAAAGGTTCGTCTCCAGTCCTTAAGAGGAGAGTTTGAATCATTGCATATGAAAGAAAATGAATCTGTTTCAGATTACATTTCAAGAGTTTTGGCTATTGTCAATCAAATGAAAAGATATGGTGAAGAGTTGAAGGATGATAGGGTCGTTGCAAAAATACAACGATCCCTAGATTCAAAATTTGATTATATTGTTGTTGCTATTGAAGAGTCCAAAGACTTGGACACCATGACCATAGATGAACTTTCAAGCTCTTTGCAAGCCCATGAAGAAAAATTGAAGAAACCAAAAGAAGAATCGGTTGAAAAGGCGTTGCAAGCAAAACTTTCCTTCAAGGAGAAAGATGAAAGGCGCGGTTCGCAACAAAAAGGTCGTGGAAATAGAAGAGGTCGTGGTAGAGGAGGAAGAGGTGGTAGTCAACCACCAAATAGAGACAATAAAAGCCAAGACTATAGTCAAAGAAGAGGTCGTGGAAGAGGCAAAGGATGGAGACAAAATCAAGGAAGGTATGACAAATCCAATGTTGACTGTTATACTTGTCATAAATTTGGATATTTTTTCTGGGAATGTAAAGATAATTCGGAGGAGAAAAATAACTTTGTGGAGAGCAAAAATGAAGATGAAGATGAAGATGCCACTCTACTTCTTGCATGCAAAGGAGAAGAAAGTGTGGAAAAGAACAAATGGTACCTTGACTCCGGTGCAAGTAGTCATATTTGTGGAAAGAAAAAGTTATTTGTGGAGCTTAAGGAGCTGAATGGTGGCCCAATCACTTTAGGAGACTCTTCGCGAGTTCAAATCAAAGAAAAAGGCACGATTTCAATTCGCTTAGAGATGGAAGTCATCAATTAATCTCCAATGTTTTGTATGTGCCGGAGATGAAAAGTAATATTTTAAGTTTGGGACAACTTTTGGAGAAAAATTATGATATTCATTTGAAAGACAAAAAGTTGTATATGAGAGATGAAAAGGGAAGATTGTTAGCCAAAGTACCTATGGCTAATAATAAAATATTCATATTATATCTTCAAAATGATGTTCCGAGGTGCTTGCTTTCATGTGCCAAAGATTCATCTTGGCTTTGGCATATGAGATTTGGTCACTTGAATTTTGATAGCCTAAGGTTGATGAAGAAGGAAAGCATAGTGAATGGATTGCCAACAATTGATCGTCCGAACCAACTTTGTGAAGGATGTCTCTTTGGAAAGCAAGCAAGGAAAAACTTTCCTAAAGAGTCTTTAACAAGAACAAGATGCCCTCTCGAGTTAATTCACATGGATGTGTGCGGACCTATCAAGCCATCTTCACTTGGTAAAAGTAATTATTTCTTACTTTTCATTGATGATTTTTCTCGAAAAACTTGGGTTTATTTTTTGAAGGCAAAATCGGAGGTGTTTGGAACCTTCAAAAAGTTTAAGAGCATGGTGGAGAAGCAAAGTGGCTATCAAATTAAGTCACTTAGGTCCGATAATGGAGAATTTACTTCAAATGAATTCAAGATTTTATGCGAGAAAAATAGAATTCATCATTACTTGACAGTTCTGAGATCACCACAGCAAAATGGCATCGTGGAGAGAAAGAATCGAACTATTCTCAACATGGCGAGGAGTATGTTGAAGAGCAAAAATATGCCAAAAGAGTTCTGGGCTGAAGTTGTTGCTTGTGCGGTGTACTTATCAAATCGGTGTCACACCAAAAGTGTTCGTGGAAAAACACCACAAGAGGCATGGAGCGGTTTCAAGCCAAAAGTTGCTCATTTGCGAGTTTTTGGGAGAATCGCATATGCACATGTGTCAGATGAGAAGAGGTCTAAGCTTTATGAAAAAAAGAGAGGTATGTCTTCATTGGCTATGATCAAAGTTCTAAAGGTTATAAATTGTATACCCCAAAAAATGGCAATGTCACCATAAGTAGAGATGTTGAGTTTGATGAAGATAATGCTTGGGAGTGGAAATCTAAAGAGCAAGAATACTCTTTTAGTCCATTCTTTGAAGATGAAGAAGAAGAAGATAGGGAGCAGGCTATCACACCACCTTCAACACCTCCGCCACAAGATCAAGAAGATGGGGAATCAAGCTCAAGTTCAAGTGAAGCACCTCACAAGAGTAGACGTCTCTGTGACTTGTATGAAAACACGGAAGTGGTAAGAAATGACTTGTATGATTTTACTCATTTTTGTTTGCTAGTGGACAGGAGCCTCTAAGCTTTGAAGATGCTTGCCAAAATTCCAAATGGAGGGATGCAATGGATGAAGAAATCAAAGCTATAGAAAAGAATGATACATGGGAGTTGGTCACACTTCCAAAAGGCAAAAGCACTATTGAAGTCAAATGGGTGTACAAGCTAAAGAAGAATTCCAAGGGAGAAGCAAGATTGGTAGCTAAAGGCTACAAGCAAAATGCCGGTATTGACTATGATGAAGTATTTGCGCCGATTGCTCGTTTGGAAAAAATTTGCTTTGTCATTGCTTTGGCGGCACAAAATCAATGGTAAATCCATCAAATGGATGTGAAGTCGGCTTTCTTGGATGGCCTATTGGAGGAAGAGGTCTATATTGATCAACCTTCGGGATATAAGGTTGAAGGACAAGAAGATAAAGTCTTGAAATTAAAGAAGGCTTTATATGGGTTGAAGCAAGCCCCGCAAGCTTGAAATAGTAGAATTGACAAATATTTCCAAGCAAATAGTTTTTCTAAGTGTCCACATGAACATGCCCTCTATGTAAAGAATGCTAAAAATGGTGACATCTTACTTGTTTGCTTGTACGTAGATGACTTGATAATTACAGGAAATAATCCAAAGATGTTGGAAGAATTCAAGAAAGCAATGGCTAGAGAATTTGAGATGACGGACATTGGCCTAATGTCCTACTATCTTGGAATTCAAGTAGCACAAAGGAAGGATGTCATTTTTATTTCTCAAGGAGAGTATGCAAAGGAAATTCTCAAGAAATTTGAGATGGAGAATTGCAATCCCGTAAGCACCCCCGTTGAATGTGAAGCTAAAATATTCAAGCATGGAGATGGAGATAGAGTCAATCCCATATTTTTCAAGAGTCTTATTGGAAGCTTAAGGTATTTGTCATGTACAAGGCCGGATATTCTTTTTGGAGTTGGACTCCTGAGTCGCTTTATGGAAAGTCCTACTACCTCGCACTTAAAGGTAGCCAAAAGAATACTTCGGTACATCAAAGGTACGCTTGATTATGGAATTCTTTATTCATCTTCTAAAGAATCCAAGTTCGTGGGATATTGTGATAGTGACTGGGCTGGTGATATTGATGATCGGAAAAGTACTACTAGGTTTGTTTTCTTTTTTAGAAATTCCGCATTTACATGGAATTCTAAGAAGCAACCAATTGCGACTTTGTCAACTTGTGAAGCGGAGTATGTAGCAGCTTGTTCGTGTGTTTGCCATGCAATTTGGCTAAGGAGCTTGTTGGAAGAACTTCAGCAACCACAGAAGGATGCTACAAAGATTTTTGTTGACAACAAATCGGCAATATATTTAGCCAAGAACCCGGTATTTCATGAAAGAAGCAAGCACATCGATACGAGATATCATTTTATTAGAGATTGCATATCTAATAAAGTTGTGGAGCTTGAGCATGTGAAGTCTGGAGATCGAATTGCGGATATTTTCACCAAGCCTTTGAAGATTGACGCTTTTCAAAAGTTAAGGATGGCGCTTGGAGTAATGAAACAAGTTTAAGGGGGATGTTAAAAATAGTAATAAACTTGTTTCCATTTGTCCACATTTGTTTAGATTTGTTTACATTAATTTAATATTTTCATACATATAGTTAGAAAAGAGTGAGGTGTGGACATGTGTGAATTTGTGTGAACTAGTGTGGTCATGTATGGACTAGCTGTTTTTCCAGTACTTCCACAGCTTGGTATGTCTCCCTCTATTATCTTTTCGTCTTTCTCTTTCCCTTCACGGCCCCCATTCTTGTCGTTTCTTCTTTGTACCTCCCCGAAGAGGAACAACAAATTTCACTGAAAAGGTTTCAAATCAAAGAAACCCCAATTCTGTTTCTAAATCATAGACTGATGCTATGAACTCCCAACCTGGTTATCGTCGTATTTGGAAGTTCTAAAAGATTGATTTATACTCTCTAACTGTTGATTTGCAGGTGCCAAAAATTTATTATTGAATACTTTCTTTATTTCTTACATTAAAATTTCTTGGAATTTGAATATTTAGTTAATCTTAAGGGGTTAGTTTTCAGTTCACCTGATCTTCTTCCTTCATGTTGTTTGGAATTATTTATTTCAGTGTTCGATTTATATTTTTGTCACTTTCTATGACTTTTCTCTGTTTCTCCATGTATTCACCCCTCTTCCCAAAAGGTTAGTTTTTCTTTCTCTTCTCTTCTCCATCTGGGTGTCTACGTGTTTCTTTTTGCTTTTTTTTCTTAAGAGTTTGTGTTGAATTCATTTCATGTGTATTTTTTCTCCTTTTTTCTTTTCAGTAAAAGGTTGAATCGATGTCAGGTGTATAGATTTGCTTGTTGTATGTAGGTATTTTTTTTATTTCTATAAACCTCGCAAGAGACTTTGCTGGGCATTGATAAGCATATTAGGATTTTCGATATGGAAATCGAGTTTTACGTTCTGGGTATCATCAAAATTCAACAAAGCTCAGAAGAATTGTGCATTACAGGTTTCAAGTAGAGATTCTTACACTAAATTTTCTCGCAGGGTAAGTTGTACAGTTTCTCGATTGTGATCTCAATTATTGGAAAAGAAATTACATTCTTTAACTGTGCTTCATTCTTTTTATAATTTGATTCTGGGAATTAAATTTATTTTCTTGTAGTTTCTCGAAGGATCTAAGTCGGTAGTAAAATGATCTTCAGGAAGTAATTTAGCAAATCCTTGTTCATCTACAAGAAATTGTAAAATATTTATCCCTTAAAATACACCGGAGATAAAACTATAGTACTATCGGAAACTTGTCAAGTGCATAGAAAATGCACCATAGAAATTTAAATTTGACGAAATAATAATTATCATCACTTCAACTATAATAACTGATCGTGTGAGAGCATAATAGCGAAAGGGAATAAAGGAAATAATCGAAAAGGAGTTTATGTCTAAGGACTGGTTTTGAAGATATAATTTATAGTAGTGCGAGATAATATCACTACAACAAAAATGGCCTAAGGTCACACCAATTTTAGACAACGCTTGAAAAGTGTTGCCAAAAATATCTACAGGACGTTTTTTAAGGGGTGGCCTTTATCGAGCACTTTTGGCCACGGAATTCTAGCAACGCTTACAAAGTGTTCTTTTTTATTTTAAAGGCTACGCTTTTCACGTGTTGCCGATCCATTAAATTAAGGCAACGTTTAGTCACATGTAATGTAACCCTTTAAGGGAGTGGTTGTTTATATTTGCAATTGCGATCCTCCATAAACGTGCTCTAAAGTCCTCTAAAATTTCCCGTTCAGATTTCCCTCTATTTGTTTTTGGCAAAAAGTTACGCTCTAAAATACTCTAATTAAAATATGCCTGTCAAATTTACCCACACAACAAGAAGATCTCGTCCTTCTTCCCTAAGATCTGGCTCTTCTTGTACCTCTCTGTTCATTGAGTGACGCGGGGTGAGTTCGGAGGAAATCGTTGATGGAAGCGATAAAATTCTTCTAATTTCTCTTCTCAAATTTCAAAACTTTCTCTTCGTCTGGTTCTGTGGCTATCAGTTTCAATTGGGGATTTCGTTTTTTTAGGGTTTGCAGCCGCTGTTGACCTCCATTTTTCAAAGACTTACTTGTAAGGTTTCTCTGAAATTTTTGCTTTCAATTTAATGACTTTTCAATTTGGCTTTTCTGAAATTCCTAAAAATTCCTTTTCTTGCTAATGGTTTCTTTAAATTTCGGTGAAATTCCTCTTTTCTTGTTGAGAGATTTGCATTTTATTTACGAATTCTGTGATCGTATACTAATTTTATATTGGAATTAGATCGATGCTTTTATGTGATGCCAAAAATGCATGGCTTTTGTTTCACTAACCTTCATGTGATGCCTTTACCTCTACTAACATTTTCTTTCATTCTAGGTCGATCGCGAGCAGAAGTTCATGATTCATTTATAACTTGTTGACACTTTCCTTTTTCTCTTGTTGGTATAATTGAAGTTTTTAATTATTTTTACGCTATTATGGTGATGAGTTAGTATGGCNTCGTGCTATAAAGTACCACTGTATGCTAGCACTTTGGTGTAAGTGAAGTTGAATAGAAATCATCCTTTCCTCCACCTATCTAATAGTGAGTTTTGAGTGTTGTTAGTTGCTTGCTCTCCCAAAAATTTCTAACATTTGGTATCAGAGTCGGTGTATTGAGAGACAACCAAACTTGGAGAAAAGATGACAAACACTAATGGAACATCATTCCAAGTTCCTATGCTCACAAAAGAGAACTATGGGAATTGGTGTATTCGAATGAAGGCCTTGCTTGGTGCCTATGATGTTTGGGAACAGGTAGAGTCTGGAGTTGATGAAACGGAAGATGCTGCAGCCACAAATAAGAAAGATCAAAAGGCACTCACTCTCATCCATCAAGGTTTGGATGACAAGATGTTCGAGAAGGTTGCAAATGCAACAACCTCCAAGCAAGCATGGGACATTCTTCAAACTTCCTTTAAAGGTTTGGACAAAGTGAAAAAGGTTCGTCTCCAGTCCTTAAGAGGAGAGTTTGAATCATTGCATATGAAAGAAAATGAATCTGTTTCAGATTACATTTCAAGAGTTTTGGCTATTGTCAATCAAATGAAAAGATATGGTGAAGAGTTGAAGGATGATAGGGTCGTTGCAAAAATACAACGATCCCTAGATTCAAAATTTGATTATATTGTTGTTGCTATTGAAGAGTCCAAAGACTTGGACACCATGACCATAGATGAACTTTCGAGTTCTTTGCAAGCCCATGAAGAAAAATTGAAGAAACCGAAAGAAGAATCGATTGAAAAGGCGTTGCAAGCAAAACTTTCCTTCAAGGAGAAAGATGAAAGGCGCGGTTCGCAACAAAAAGGTCGTGGAAATAGAAGAGGTCGTGGTAGAGGAGGAAGAGGTGGTAGTCAACCACCAAATAGAGACAATAAAAGCCAAGACTATAGTCAAAGAAGAGGTCGTGGAAGAGGCAAAGGATGGAGACAAAATCAAGGAAGGTAT